TCTGATACATTAGTTGGCAAGTGGCTAGATTCGAGTCCCAGGAAAGAATGTATAGCCCGATGTGTGCATGGCAGTAGCTTCCCCGTTTTGCCAATCTTGAAACTCTCTACGGAGGTACAGAAGCGGAGGCGAAAGACTAATTGACCAGTGTCATTCTAGTGACGCCTATCGCCCGAAGTCTATATTGACCGGAGGAAGTCATTGTCTACGGAGTACAGCATATTATATTGCATGGCGGCTCGAAAGTTGGGCCCGTCGCAGGCGTCACTTAATTTGCCGGATCAGAGGGAAATAGTAGTATAATTAGGATCGGTCAAATTAAAATCTCCGAGTGTTGGCGAAGCGAAGTGAGCAAGAGATGGAAGCGAAATGAAATAGAGTGTCGAAACATCCTGCCCTCAACGATTGGAGGTATATCAACCCCATTTTCAAGGCTAACGCATAAGGCCCAGTTTGCACGCAATTTGTGACTTGCATGTGGGGGGGCTCCATTAAACAGGCCCTAAAGTAATATGAGGCTTTTGTTCCCACTTACATAGGGTGCAGGTACAGTGATATTGAGATCCCAGTCCGCTGGGAAAAGGGCCGACAACACCGACAGGCCGGGTCTTCCGAGGTTTGCCCAGTTATCCTCCGGCGTTTTCCTGAAAATAAATTGGTTGATCCTTCTGGAGGCGGGATCTACCGGCCCTTTCATATTTCATCCGCATTCACTGGGTTCTAACTCTCCACTCTTGGACAGGTTTGGCAATCACCCCCTGTATGGATCTGCGTCGAAAGTTAGCGGTGTCACTCGGCAGGCCTCGGCCGCAAGTCCGGAGTCTCCGCGTTATACTTTTTGAAGGGACAGAAATGCCCGCGTAAACAAGGACAGAACGATTTCACAAAATTTCACTTTCCATTCCAAATTGGAAATGTTCTCCGCTTCAAGTTGATAGTCTCACCCCCAAAAGAAGATAGGTGCAGGTGTCAAATAGAAGTATACAGAGTAGGGTACGGACTAATCAAGCCAGTAATAGGTCTGCATTCTCCGGAGTATTGATGGACGTAGGATTGCCTCTGGCCTTGTTCGGGTTTTCTTTTTTATTTTCTTTCATTTGATTTGAATTAAAACTACTCTGTACTTGCTCCAGCCATATTTCCCCTCCCGTTACTCAATTTTTACTGGCTAGATCGTATGTTCCATAAAAGAATGTACCTTGTACCCTGGAGCCAAACCCGTATACACAATCAAATAAACCTACACCACACCCCAGAAGGCGTAGTGGGTGTCTCACAAAGTTCTCGAGAGGCGGCAAACCCTTGATGAAAAGAAGACAAGAAAAATCTCTGTTTTGCCACAAGGCCCTTCCAGGGCCATGTACACTGACCAAGTACTCCGTAACCCCCACGGACTCAGGGTGTTTGATTTGCTACTAGTGGCGATGTGTTTTAGCCAGTGCAACATTCCTGCTACCTTAGATCAACCGTTATGTACTCAATATGCAGAACAGGAACCTAGTCCGTATTGGTGGACTAACCTGGTAGAGATCCCTACCGGGATAACCCACCTTTGTCTACTAGACATGAAGAAAAAAACCAGATTACTGTTGCATCGGGAACTCGGGAAGACAAGGCGAAACCTTAGAACCTGACCGAACGTATATAATGATTTAGGGGATTGTCAGATTACCCAGTGAATTATGTGCTAAGTAGTTATATAAATAGTAAATAATTGCCCTTTCTAAAGTGTCAGCATTGGAAGCCCAAATAAATAATAATAATTAATACATAATAATGAATATTGCTTCACACCTCATTCTAGAAAAGCAAGCGAGAGCGCGAATTAAAAAAACAGCGCTGTCTTTATTAGCGAGATAGGGTTGCGCTGCTAGAATTTCTCTTGGCCCTTAGCTCTCCTTGGCTTTTTCGACTCCTAGAACTCTGAGTAGGAAAATGGGGCCACCGTGTATAAACTCCAGCGGAAAAAAAGAAAAAGAAAAAATACAGAAAAAGATATGGGGAAAATGAAACGAAAAAAAACCACGAGTCATGTACGCCATGCAATTTATTTATTTTCGGACCGTATGCCAATCTAGGCATGGTATGACATTTCTATGAACTAGCTCAGAGAGACAATGCCTAGACAAGGATGTGGGATACGGGAATAGGCTGAGAAGAGCGGGAAAGTAAATATACGGAATAGAAGGAATTTGGTTTCTAAAGGCTAGGTCTTTGGAGCCAATAAGACTGAAGTTTCCATCGCAGTAATATTCCTGGAAAGCACTAGTCGCCGGAAAGGAAATGGCTGATATACCATGGGCACTATCGGAATGAGCATTTGGTAAAAAGGAATTCTTCGGGATCGGAGTGAAAAATAGACCAATCCTCATAGAGGGAATATAACAAGAGAATTAAAAAGAGAAAAAGAAAAAACACATGTTCAGGTATCAAAACAAGATCGCCAAGAAGGGAAACACCGTTGCCTCCGTTTAAAATGACAATATATAGAAGAATAACATAATATCGCAAGGGGGAATCCATAATAAAAGCGCCTAGAAATCTGGAAATGGAACATAGGAAAAAAAGCCAATATAGAACCACAGAGGGAAAAAAAAACAGATGCCTGATTTGCAATCCAAAAAAAAAAAAAAAAAAAAGGGCCGGAAAGCAGAAAAGTCGTGATGGGCATTAAACACGCATTTGGTCCACAAATCTAGGTGTAATCCGCTCTTAGCCTACTCCCAAAAAGCCCCAGTCAGTCCCCTCCGCTTGATTCAAGAGCCGGGGCGCTGGGGGTTTGTACGCATAGTTTGGGTATTGAACAATGAGTGACTGCTCAGGTGGCAGTTGATGGCCTTGAAAAGGCGGGTGTTGGTATTGTTCTGGGATGTAGTTGGTGCGTGGGCTTGTGTCGTACCGCGGTTGCATCATTTGCAAGTATTGTTGTTGTTGCTGTTGCTGCTGTTGCTGTTGCTGCTGCTGCTGCTGCTGCTGCTGCTGCTGCTGCTGCTGGTGTTGTTGGTGTTGTTGTTGGTGCTGTTGATGTTGGTGTGGATGCGCATGGTGTTGGTGTGGCTGTTGAGCGTGTGGCATGTTTACTGGAGAGGTCACAGATCCATTCTGGGACACGATCGGAGGGGCAACTTCGTGAACCGGCACAGTACCCATGGGTACACTCTGAGGCGAGTAAAACTCATGACTTGGTGTCGCCGATTGAGGGTAATAAGGTTGCTGGGCGAGCATGTACTGCTCACTTGGGACCGAGACTGACACGGGTGTTTGGTGGTAAGAGTGCTCGGAGGTCGCATCTTCCGAGGATGGTCGGGTCAAACTCCCAGGAGGGTGGGAGCGGTGTTGGTGTTTGGTGAGGGTGGTCTTGCGACAAAAGCTGCAATTTCAATAAGACAATTAGATAGTGCTTCGACTATTTCCACCAAAATACTTACCTCCGCTCGCACGTAGGCTCATGGCAGATGTATGGCCGCTTGCCAGTGTGGATTCGGCGATGACGGGCCAGACTCGATGACTATAAGCGATCAGTAAAGGTGCATCCCAAATTCCAACCACATCAAGAGGTCCTTACATCTGAGAATGCCTTCTGACAGCCTTCGTGATCACAAACATGGGGCTTTTCGCCAGTGTGGGTCCTCGAATGTACGGTCAAGGCACTACGCTGAATGAAGCTCTTGTTGCAGTCCTTTACGGTGCAATGATATGGCCGCTCATTGGTATGAATGCGATAATGGCGACAAAGATCCGACTTGCGATTGAAAGACTACAAATATCCGGTTAGGAAACAATAACAGAGAGAGAGAGAGAGAGAGAGCTGAAGTACCCACCTTTCCACAATGCTCCCATGAGCAATTAAAGTCGCGCCCGCTACCTGGAGCCATGGTGCAAATTGAAAGTGTAAGGGAAGATGGACTTGGAAAGCCAAATTAGACAAAGGGGGAGGGGCAAGAGGGGAACGTAAGCGCATATGCGCAGACGGAAAAAAAAAAGAAAAAGTAGCTGGTCAGTCTGGATCCAGGATGCGAATCCAAAGCATAATATAAGAGGGGATATATACGATAAAGATTAAAAGATAAAGAGGGGGGAGCCTCAAGTATTAAAAGTATTTTAATATAGCTTTTGAAGGGGGTAAAAAAAAAACGGCGCGGATGGGACCGTAGATATTATTTATTTATATTTTTAGGGATAATAGAAATAAATTATATATTTTTTTTATACTTATTATTTTATTTTATTTTCGAAGGTACTAGGTACCTCATTTTGGTATGGAAGATATACAACCTATCAGAGACCTTCTGTTCGCCTATTCTCTTCCAATATATTTTCAGTGTACCACATCGGAAAACCGTCTAATACCTGTGGAGGTAATATATTTTTCCAAGGTTGACAGTAAGTTTAGCTCTTAACGATGGAAATTGCGATAGCCCGAAAAATAGAAACCCCCACATTACCAGCTTATTTACCACTCCACCTGGACCCGGAATAAGATGCTAGACTGGACCGGGAGTAGAATGATACCGTATATAATACACTGTATGTGACCCGTATCTTGAATAAACTTCCTCTCTTGACCCCCTTTAATAACTTGGCGAGGGGTATTCGAGTCTACCATACTAGTGCGGAGTACTATATACAACATACGATTTGATTTACTCAAGGGTTCGCATCTCGCCAAGTTATGTTAAAAGGATGATATCATACAAGGCACGGGAATTCGGCCATTCAAAGATTCTCCGAACACAATTAGGCCAAGCCACCGTAGCCGCGGCCGAACTGCTCCGATCTAGTTTTAAAATGAGAGAAGGTCACTAACGCTAAAAACGATCTTCTCCGGGAAGTAAATGGAGTGAAGGTTATAACTAATTTCCCCTCGGAGAGCCCTAATCTAAATGTTCTCCATTAATATTGTCTCCGCAAACAAACCCCCAAAAAAGCCAAAGAAAATATGGCATAAAACTGGAGTGAAAAACCAAAGTTAATGGAGAAACGAGACTGCAAGGGATAACTTATGACGCGGCATCTGCACCAACGGCGATAATTCGGATTCTATCCCGATGGATCAGGTACCCCAGCTCATCCCGCTTGTCCACCCCGAACAGCCCCAAGGCTTCGGGTCCCATTTCCTTAAGGTTGGGGCTGTTCCCGTCTCTCCACTTCTATATAAATTGTATACATTAGGGATCTGGTTTTCAATCTCAACGATGCGACAACGATGTGACATCGATGCGATGTAAGATTTCATTGGGCATAAATAGAGTGTACGGAGTATGTTGTATACCCTGGCCGACGAAGGGGTTTACTTTCTTCACCGTACTCCGTATAGCGCACATCAATCAATTATAATTGCTTTTATCGGCGGGGGGTCGATCACTTGGCTTCAAATTTCCCTGTCCAACGCCTAACTGTAGAGAAACGAATGGCTATTACTTGGTTTACTATCCACACCTTGGCTCTCAAATTCTAGTGGCAAACCATATCAAAGATTAAGCAGATAGCCTGTTGCCTCGTCACAAGGTGCGTGTCGGGTAGTCTCGGTTGGCCCGGGAGGTTTTCGATGGTCAATAGACTCAGCAGAGGTGTCGCAAGAAGCGTCGGTTTTCGCGCGACGTATACAGTGGGGATCACAGGCAGGAATATGCCAGAGCGGGTTAGATCTCTCATGAAAAAGTAAAGTGAAACACAAATAGAAGCTGAGGCGTTCTTTTTTTTTTTTTTTTTTGTGATAACTGCTCCTGAACGTGGCAACCCACTCGCAGTCATCTTAACAGTGGCGATCTTCTGAATCATATAACCTTATTACGCCGGAAGAATGACAGACGCCTTGTGGCTTCTCTTTTCTTTTTTTCTCTCTATTGATCGACAAATAGTACAACCTAGGTATGGAACGGAGTACTCCGTAGAGCTTTGCCTAATCGTGTGGCGCAGATCTGTTGCGGATTACCTGATGGCGGAAGTAAGTCTTGTTCAGAGGACCAATAGTTCTTGCGATCATGGTATACCCGGATCTTGGTGATGCACGTAGTGTACGAGGCAAAGCATGTGCGTATTCGAGGACCCACACAAACTCCCTATTAGGAGTTATGGATGCAGCCCCCCTCAGCCATTGAGGTAATCGAACATGACGGAAACAACTAAAAGATGATTAGTCGTACTAATGTTTAGAATAAAAAAGTATATATTAGTTGAAAGACGGTTATAAACACGAATATAGATGGGAACCAAACAAAAGGCTACTATATATTGTATAGTGTATGGACAACTTGCCCAGCCCATCATTTCCTCCTGAAAGGTCCAGACTTACAGACACGCTTGGGTCCACATTAAAAACCTTTGGACATTCCGTTAACAAAATATTACCAAAGTCTCCGCCGATCAGCCCCTAAGAGATAAACTGCGACTATCGTTGAACTCGTCGGTCATCGGTTCTCTAGATGCACGCTAAATGAAACGGCAATCGCTTAGCCGAGCTATAATATATGCGTACGCTGATCAGGTAGGTACGGCACAGCATGCATGCTCTACTTGAGGCACATATGCATATTTTAATGCTGTGAAATCACGCTGGCGAGCTTGACGCGGATGCAAGAGAAAATCGCAAACCGGTGTGCTTGCATGCAAATAAATGAGGCGCCAGTCAAACGTGTTGTATACCCAAGAGCCTGGTCTTGGGATTCTTTGCTTCTTTGTTTTCGCGGACTATTTCCTTTGTGGAGTGAATTCTCCGGATAGGGACGGGCCTTTTTTTTGGGGGGCCATATCATATTCAAAAGGGGAATAAAGGTCCACCTTCTTTGGAATAGTCCAGCATATTGTTTGGCAAAGGAAAATTCACAGAGGGGGTTAGAAAGCTGTTCAAAAGCTGTTTCAAAGCTGCATGAGCACCACGCAAGGACAATGGCTTTCTAGTTAGAGTTCCAGAGAATCTGATTTTTTTTCCCTTTTTCCTCCCCATTTTGCTCGTTTTCTTCCCTCGGCTGTGAGATGATGCTCTAAGAAGCTCTGACTACCCCGCATTTTATTCCATCTTGGCGATTCAGGGTTGATATCACGCTGTTGGTGAGCTCTCTGATTTGACCCATGCAAGGCGCCCCCTCTTGGGCTTGCTAAGCCACTAATGGTGTTGGTATTTGTAGGTAATGAATTGTATACGAGGGAAATCTTATTAATGTACCCTGTACAAAATGAAAAAGGGAATTTACAGCGTGGACTAACAAGTAGATCGGAAATATCTCATTTCCGTGGCGATCATCTATACCATGTGAAGTGCCGATACATGTTATGTTGTACATATAAAAACATATACCCCTGGGTAAATTTTCCTTGCAAACAAGAGCTTTAAACAAATATCTTCCTCCACATGTCCCGAAAAGCCACTAAATTAATCTCCGACGCGCGCATGGCGACGCACTAATGGGAGAAGCTCGGGTTGCTATCCCCCACCCTAGAATCGAAGGAAGCCTAGAAGCCAAGTGGACTCTATTTCGCCAATCTGGCTATTGAATATCGAGCTTTTTCACCGAGGAGAGATGGGGTGAATGTGATTTCATGTTTTCTCTAGATACTTCGTATGTTGTAGAGGCTGTATATAATGTCCACAGGTATTGAGGAACGGCCAATGACCTACAACATATGATAATCTCCCTCTAGAATCAGGCGAGAAATAATTACGGAAAAGTACTCCGTACCCTCCCTCTTGCTGATTGGGATCATTCTCCGCCATATTGCCCTCTCTTGCTCTCGTTGCGCGAATGTCGGTCAACAATCGGGGTTTGCTCTCCTATCAGCACCAAACGATAACTTTCCGGCCAGGATCTTGGGGCTAAGGGCGAACAGCCACCAATTGACCCCCTTGCAGTTATTTTGACTCCAGTTTCAAGTTTAGACATCACCAAATGTTGGGTTTGAAGGCCAACAGCGATAGAAGAGAAGAATGTGATCATCAAAACTTACCCCCAAGCCCCTATCACAGCTGTGACAGCAAAGTTAATATTTTGGTACGCCTCCTTACTGAAAGCCCGGGAGTCTCTTGGCGTAAAATGGATCATCTCCCAAGTCCTATCTGCTAACTGTATACAAATATAGAAGAGATAGAAGAGATATCGGGCGAGGGATGATGTCTTGGAGCTAATTCCCTCCCCCGCAAAAGAAACACATAATTCCCGCATCCACCATTTTCCCGATTTCTGTGCAAGGGGGCCGTTAATAAACACAACACGAGGGACGTTGGCTCCTCTATTCTGCGCAATCACCGTCTCATGTTACTTTCAAACAAGCCCGGTGGAGCCTAGAGAAAAAAAGAGAACCCGAGGGCTGAGGGACAGCGGCTGGAAGGCTTGGCTTTCAGAGCTGCATGCCCTTACTAGTCATCTGGTAGTATTGCTCGTTCGAGGGTATGACGTTTTTTTCGTGGGGAATGGCTTCATGGATTTGTTAAGGCAGACTCAGCCATCGGGTACGCATGCACGCCTTGCTGCAACTAACGTATATGGGGCACAGTCGATAGCGTTGGAGTGTTTAGTTTGAGATATAGTGCTGAATAGAGAGCCGGACGAAGGGCAGTAGATTTCACATCTGATTTGTATACCCAAACCCATATATACACATATCTGAGTAAAATTGAGCACGCTCCACAGGTTCCGGCTCGTATATTACATAATCACCGGTTGGGGCCCACTTCAGGCCGGGACGTCCCCGAGGTCAACGGATCCGGCCGGTGATCTATATTACACTAACTCGAGGACTTCCAAACTTGGGTACCAGTCCGAGCAATCCACATCCTTATCTCTATAGGCCGTTTATTTTCGAAAAATCAGGAGATTCTGGGACTTTGCAATCCAGCACAAGGTATCGATATGCACCGCTGCATTGATGGTCTAGCTTCTGTCATTTAGCACTGTAGAGGCTTACAAACACTGAACTTGTAATTAACTCTGGATTGTACATGTTCGGGGTACGTGAAAAGCAGGGTTTATATGGGCACCGAGATTGGTTGTCAATGCTAGTATACGTTCTATTTGGCAGGAAGCGTATGATCGTAGTCAAGCACGAACGATGTCTATATCAAACAACACAGCTCTAGACCTTAACGATGAGCGTGGTTCGAATTCAATGGTTAACACTATCGTGTTTTGTTATATATTTCCGGGGAACCTTAGAGAGGTAGCAGTAATAATAGCAACCTGTTCTTATAGAAAACATCACTACATAATGCTTCTCCATTGGTGTGAAATGTGCAAAACCAGGCATCAAATAATAGATATAATACTGAGCGCTAGGTAGCAAAACTAAGTGTTGGTATTTGCACGCATAGATAGTGATCTGTATTTGGCAGTGCTACATATCGACTACTAAATACAAAAACACAAATGAGACATATCAGGCAACCCAATATCAACCTAGCATAGTAATATATCCGTTCCGTGAGATGCCTTGCTATATCCACTCTACAAACTCCTAAATCCCGGCCAACCCAACCCAACTGTGACTTTACCAACTCGTCAGCCCGCGCTCACGATCAAACCCAGCCCGCAACTGCTTCCCAGGCTTAAGCAACTTGCCCTGTAAGACAGTGTACCGAATGATATTCTCACACTCCTCTGGCCGCACACGCGCCAACCAGATCCCCTGCGCAGCACCCTCGTCTTCGACCTGCTTCTCCTTATCTGCAGGAGCATTGCGCTTGTACCACTCGAAGTCCCGGCGGCGGTACACAATCACATTAGCAGAGTACTTGTGCCCACCCACATGGCTAATGAAGTAGATACCCACACCACCAGGCCGCTGGTCATCCATGTCGCGGTACAGACCAAGCGGACGCAGGTGGCGCTCAAACTCGCGGCGGAGCAGGGGCGCCGATTGCCCACAGCGCGCATCGCGGGTCCGTTGTGAGCAGAGCAAGATTACTGCTGCATGCGGGCAGGGGTGAGACTTGAGGGATGTGGTGATTGATGTTGTGGATGGGTGTGGGAGCTCTTGTGTTTGCGTGGGGTCCTGGTCTGCCTCTGTTGATTGCTCCAGTGGGGGTGGGATTGCGCCTAGTGGCGTTGTCGTTGTCAGAGACCGGTTGATGAAATCCTCAATCAGATCTGGGACTAGCTGTGGGGTGACATGCTCGACGACGGTGAAGCTCGGCAGCAGGAGGATGTTTGTTGGCTGTTTGCCTGCGTCGGCCATGTGGTATTCGTCCGGGACGGGCATGTTTGATGCTGACAGTTTGAGTCT